ATCTACAAAATTATGAGAGGACAGATAGGGTGGATAGTCAGAGACCTTTTCCCAGGGTTGAAGTTTCAATTACAAGGGTGCATAGCTCCAAGGTGAGAGGGGGAAAGTTTAAAGGAGATGTGCGAGGAAAGTTTTTCACGCAGAGAGTGATAGGAACCTGGAACACATTGCCAGAAGAGGTGGTGGAAGTAGGCACATTGGTGACATTTATGAGGCGTCTGGATGGTTACATGAATAGGGAGGGAATAGAGGGATACGGACCGAATATGGGCATAAGCTTTGTTTTTTAGTTTAGTTCGGGTATGATGATCAGCACAGGTTTGGAGGGTTAAAGGGCCTGTTCCTGTGCTGTACTTCTCTTTTGTTTTGCTTTTGTTCTTAAATCACTGGATATGGCAAAGATTATGATTCTGGACAGCATCTCGGGTGTACTGTGCAAGACCTGTGTACCAGAGCAAGGTGATTCCCTCACCAAGCTGTTCCAGTATAGCTATGATGCCATTGAAAAGCACAACTATCTAGATATCTTTTTGCTACAAAAATAGACAACTTTCTTTCTGTCAATGACTGCCCTATCAATCATCTCCAATTATCAATACAGTGATTGAAGGAATCAATTATTTCATCAAGTGACAGATATTCGCGAATAGTCTGCTCAGCATTGCTTAGTTTGAGTTGACTACTTAGTACCAGGATTAATCCAGATTTGAATGCCATAGCTAAAAACCAAGAGAGAGATGTCAACAGCTGACCTTGACGTAAATATATTATTGACCGAGTGACGAACCAAGAAATCCAGCAAAAAATGGAATTGGAGCCAAAGGATGAGCCATTCAATGACTGATTGTAGTGCTCTGTTCATTACTCCATGCTGTAAAGTCTTGGGCCTTTCTCTTCAATTGTTCATAACGGTCTCCCATTTTCAATTTTAATGAATAATATGACTAGGCGAAAGAATGCATGAGCAATGGTTTCCCATTACCTTCCTACAATGTGCTCAAAGGAAACACAAGCCCAATTTCTGAAGAATTCTTTGCTGTGGTTACTGGTGATCAATCATTATATCCTCAGGATATCACTGCAGAACTTTCTCAAAGCAGGACAGTTAGCTCGATCATAATTAATAGCCAGAAACAGTGAGCTATATACTGATAATTTAACACTGGTATCAGAACGTTTTGTTATCAATGTTATCATGAAGATGAATTATATGTGTGTCAAAATCTCTCACTCAATGTCGGAAAATTTTTAAACACGCTGCAATTATAAATTGGTCTACGTTTCTCTTTTTGTGAGCTGGCAGCACTGCCACCTTTGAGTAGTAAGTTTGTGGGTTGAAGTCCCACGCCAGGAGTCAAACACAGCATTCAAGACCGATACTCCAGAGTAGCACTGAGGAGGTAGCATCTTTCAGATGAAACATGAAACCAAGGCCCTTTCTTCTCTGTCAAGTGGATGCAAGGGATCTTAGCCACTACTTCAAAGAAAAGCAAAGGATTTATCTCCAATGTCTTTGCCAATATTTATCCTATCCCTCATTCAACATCATAAAAACAGATGATATGGTTGTTACTATATGACTGTTTGGAGAAGCTTGTTAAGCAGAAATTGGCTGCTGCTTTTTCAACTCTATGACTACACTTCACAAGTACTTTGGGACTTCTGGCGCTGTGAACCCCGGTACATAAATGCTTAATTTTTTTCCTGCTGCCGAACACAATCTTGGATTGCTGTCTGAACATTAGGCTAATCTCATCCTCATTAATGTAGAGCCAGTCTATATGTATATTTCAACTTCCTTTGAACATAAACTAAAACAAAGGGTTAGATTTACTGATCAATATTAAATTTATAGGTAATCACTGACAATGGCCTGTGTGACACAATGTAAAATACAGTATAATTTAAACCAAGTAACACTTTAAATATTTTACCCAATGACTGAATCACAGAATTGTTATAGAAGGAGACTATTCGACCCACCGGTTCTGTTACCTGGTGCTTTTTCCACATTATGCCTGCACACCATTTCTATCCAAATAACCATCCAATGCCCCCTCTTGAATGCATCAACTGAACCTGCCTCCATCACGTTTCCAGGCAGTACATTCCAAATCCTAACTTTTTTCTCACATCACCCTTGCTTCATTTGCATATCACTTTAAACCATGCCCTTCCGTTCTTTTTTATGAGTGGGAACAGCTACTCCCTATCTACTCAGCCAGCCTCTTATGATTTTGAAAATCTCTATCAAATCTCCATTCAGCTTTCTTTTCTCCGAGGAGGACAGTCTCAAATGAAATAACTTCACAGAGGCTGGAATCCTGCCATCAAGTAACCCTTTATTTACAGATGCATAGTATTTGACACTGGTGCAGCTTCCTCAGAGCCAGTTCTCAGAGTGAAATGAACTCCTGACACTCCTGTTTCTATCTGTAAGCCAGGGCTCCCTGATCGGACCAGATTAACAACCCTAATCAGGGAACTTATATTCTATGAGGTCTACCTGGCTGACCTTGTTACAATCACTATACTAACTTCTTCATTCTATTCCTCATAACTTAAGTTTCACATTCCTGGAACCACTCTCGTAAATTGCACTTGCTCGAATACATTCAAATCTTTCCCATAATGTGGGGTTCATAATTGGACATAGCACTCCAGCTGAGGTCTACTAAGTGCGTGTATAAATTCAACATAACCTCCTTGCTCTTCTACTATATGCCCCTATTTATAAGGCCAAGACACTTTATTTTTAGTAACTGCATTCTCCCTGTTTCCTGATAGTTTCAATAATCTGTACACATATACAACCAGGGCCCTCTGCTCCTGCATCCACTTTAGAGGTGTACCCCCATCTCATATTGTCTTTCAATGTTCTTCTGATCAAAATGCATCACTTCACACTTCTCTGCATTGAACCTCATCTGCCATTTATCTGCCAACTCCACCAACTTATCAATGTCTTTTTGAAGTTCCATATTATCCTCCTCACAGTCTACAATTCTTCCAAGGTTAGTGTCATTTGCAAAATTTGAAATTGTCCAGTGCACACCAAGATCCAGACTATTAACATATATAAAGAAAAGCAAGAGGCCCAATACCGAACCCTGGGAAATTCCATTACAAACCTTCCGCCAGCTCAAAAAATATCCATTAACCAATCCTCTAATTTCTAAGTCAACGATAGCTCTTGGTTTACCTCTGAGAGATACTTTATGACACTAACGGTTTTAACACACCTATTTTTACTAGTAACTATAAAAATTAAACTCAAATTCTCCTTTCTCTTTTCACTTTAATGGTGAATTAAGTCATTGTTCAATGTCATTGTATTTCTGGGAACCAAGAGTTATGGGGAAAAGGTAGGAAAGTGGAGTTGAGGATTGTCAGATCAGCCGTGATTTAACTGAATGGAGATGCAGCCTTGATGAGCTAAATGGTCTACTTCTGCTCCTATGTCTTGTCTTATCCTAAATCTTTATATTCCATAAAATCTACTCATTTCTGAATTGATATTTCCAATTGACCCCTAACCTTACCAATTTTTCAGAAGGAAAGGTTCCAGAATTCCATTATACTTCAGTGCATTAGTACTTTCTGACATCAGCCCTAAACCATCTTACACAAATCTTAAGTCTATTCTGGCTTGTTCTGAACTCTCCCATCAAAGGAAATAGTTTCTTTATCTATCCTGTCAAATCCTTAATTGTCTTATATACTCCAATTAGATCACCCTTTAATATTCCTTATTCAAGGGAAGGTGAGCCTAGTCTTCGTTAAAGAGACAGGTTTTAAGCATCTTAAAAGAGGTGAAAAGATTTAGGGAGAGAGTTCTGAAGAGAGAGTTGGCAATGGCAAGTTGAAGGAAGTGTGAGTTCTAACAGAATTGTATGACAGATTAGAAAAATGGGAAAAAGTGAGGGAATTAAACAGCAGGATGAAATTTTTAAAATCAAGGCATTGCTGAACTAGGAACCAATGTAGATGAATTGAACCTGGCGTGAAATAGGTTATAGACAGCGAAGTTTTTGATGAGCTATATTGATAAACTTTGTGGAAGATGGTAAATCGGAAGCTAACACTCCTACCATTATTTCCACTTCCCAATACGTCTAAGTCTGTCTCAACCCTAGGTAAAATTCACACCACTCTGTGTCCCTAAGAAACAGGCGTGGATAGTAAACCATTTGCATGGGTTTTCCCTTGAGCAATATCATCTGTGATCTGCTAGTAATATATCCAAACATTTGGGAGAATGTGAACTTCCTGTAACAGTAATATTTTAATTTTTTTAACCCTTCTACATCTGTAATGCTTGTTTGTCACACTTGCTCAGCTTTGAATTCTCTCATCCCCATCTCCAACTTAGATGGTGCATTCTTTGCCTTGCTTGCCATTTAAAGCCTATTTTAACTACAATTAAGAGATAGTAAGAACTGCCGATGCTGGAGTCTGAGATAACACAGTGTGGAGCTGGAGGAACACAGCAGGCCAGGCAGCATCAGAGAAGCAGGAAAGCTGACATTTTGGGTCAGGACCCTTCTTCAGAAATGGGGGAGGGGAAGGGGGCTCTGAACTAAATAGAGAGGAGGGTAGGACAGTTCTGAGGAATGGTCGTCGGTCCCGTAACATTAACTCTGTTTTTTCCTTCACAAATGGTGCCAGACCTGCTGAGCTTTTCCAGCAACTTTGTTTTTGCTCCTGATTTACAGCATCCACAGTTCTTTCAGTTTTTATTATGAATAGTAAGGATTTAGAGGGATATGGACCAAATGGGACTGGCGAATGGGACTAGATCAATCTAGGATATCTAGTTGGTATGGACAAGTTGGACCGAAGGGTCTGTTTCCATGCTGTACATCTCTGTGTCTCTATGAGAGGGTTGGAATAGTAGAAGCAACTAAAACATAATTAATCACAGATAATTTATAATGGTGGAAAGGGTGATGGGACTTGTCTGGTTGCAAAAGTATTTATAGATGTTCGTATTCTTACAGGGTGTAACCTCAGTGCCTCTGGGTATGGCCGACTGCAATGGGAGCACAACAAAGGGATTGCCTTCTTACGTGGAATTGACTATAAGGAAGGAGCTTTGGTGATTAAAAAATCTGGACATTACTTCATTTACTCAAAGATCCTATTGGGTGAAATAAGTTGTGACGTTGAAAGAAATGGGTTTCTGAAGCAGACAGTTTTCAAAGAAGGAGACGCCTATCCACAACCCATTGAATTAATGGCTGTTCGGAAATTCTTCTGCACAGGGCAGAGTGCAGATCAGTGGCTGGACAATAGCTACCTAGGGGCAATATTTGATTTTAATGAAGGAGATCATGTGTTCATTAAAATAACAGATAAAAGACTTCTGAAAATCTTCAACCATGCAGAAACATTCTTTGGCGCTTTTATGATTTAAAGTATTTGTCAGACTCTCTATTCATTTGTCTCATTCAGTAAGTGAACATCTACTGCAAACATGTGCTCATTTCCTGCTTTGCTAACGTGAATGTCTAAGTATACCACTTCATAATAATCAATGAAGCGTGTATTTTTTTCTTTTACAATGGAAGCATTTCCTCTGAGATACGGCCAGAATCATGTTGTAACATCAATTGTTTTGGCAACGGGACCTGTTTCTCTAGGCTGAGATACTAGGCAGAAGCAGCAATGCAGCAGCCAGCTAATTACATCTTCATGGCTGAGATGCTTGGGCAATCGCATGATGAGAAGGCAGGAAGTTGGCAACCCTGCTACGGCAGCCGGACAGACATCTATTCCCTACAATCCATCTGTTCTATCATCCCCATCCCACCCTGACCTCCCATAGTCATGTTCCGCCTTCTGTCTGTAGATTTTGACTTTCCCAATGCAGATCAGCCTTCTTCCCCTAAGAAGCTCTCATAAATCTGCTACAACCCACACTCCCCCTAGTACTTCGATCCCCCTTGCACAGCCAACAACCATTCTCAATGCATCAATGCCCCCACTCCCATGGGCCAACAAAGCTGCCCTGGGGAAAAAAGCAGCACCCAACGAAATCCACCAAGGAAGACTACCTTCTTTGTTGCTATCATGAATCTGAAGCCACGTGCTTCTCTTTTGCTGCAGTTAATTGCTGAGATATCATTTTACCAATCAAAATGATGTTTCAATGAGTACACATGGCAGCTAATACATTATAAATTGGTGCCTGCCACTTGCTATAGAGAAGTTTGATCAATCTTCAATCTACTGCTGCATTAATTCCCTTCTTTCATCTTGCTGTTGGGAAGCTGACATTACAACTCCCTTACAATTAGTCATGCCTGTTTGCATCATTTCCAACTGCTGGTAGCAGATGCCATTTACTATTCATCATTTTTTATAAACCTTTATTTATTATTGCTTAATTGGCAATTTATTTTTGTGTTACAGTTCACAATTCCCACTTAGTCAAAGACAAAGAATATTGTTCCATTTACTGTTTTATAATTTGCATATCTGGGCGACATGGATAAACTTACTGGTGATGGGTTTAAAGATCTTTACCTTCAAATCCATTGTGGAGATATATGCTTCAGTAGCATGGCCAGCTTTAATTGCCAATCCCCCGTTGCCCTTAGGAAAGTACTGGTGAACTATTGCTGCCTTGAACCACTGCAGTCCACGTGCCATAGGTACACTAAGTGTTGTCAAATAGGAAGTTCCATGATGTTAATATTGTGGTTGTGATGGAACAATGATATATTTCCAATTCAGGATGGTGTATGTCTTGAAGGAGAATCTGCAGGTAATGGTGTTCCCATGCACTTACTCTCCTTGTCATTCTAGGTGGTAAAGTTCACTGGTTTGGAAAGTGGCACTGTCAAAAATCTTGATAAGATGTTGCAATGCATCTTGCAGATGATACACTGCAACTATGGTGCACAGGTGATATAGGCATTGGATATTTAACAGGATGGATGGAGCACCTATCAAGTAGGTGCTTTGTCCTGGATGAAGTTGGAACTTCTTGAGTGGTGCTGGAGCTGCAGTCGTCCAGGTAAATTTTAAATCATTTCTCCTAACCTTGCCCTTTTGTTCTTTAATATCTGATCTGTCTGTGATGAAGCAACTTGGGTATTTTGCTATCTTAATATGTCAAATAAATGTACATTATTGACACCTGCATTGTTTTTGCCATCAAATGTCATATAATGACCTTAAGAGTTGATGATTAATGAAACCCAGCAATACTTGTACATGATACATTAGATTTTACAGGTACTGTGCCCTACAGCAAAGTTTCAGTGAAATGGATAACATAAATCTGTGTGATGGAACTTATTATAAGCATAAGTATAGTCTCTGTGCGCATTTTTCACCTTGCTTGCAGGCAAGGAAATGTCTGCTATCCTTGTCCAACATCCAATACATTAATTCCTACAAAATGAACCAGAAAATTGAAATTCCCTAGCATGCATATTGAAAACCAAACTCAATTTCTGTCAAGGTTGTTAAGAACTGCTGATGCTGGAGTCAGAGAAAACACAATGTGGAGCTGAAAGAACACAGCAGGCCAGGCAGCATCAGAGGAGCAGGAAAGTTGTCGTTTTGGGTCGGGACCCTTCTTCAGAAATGGGGAGAAGGAAGGGAGCTCAGAAATAAATAGAGAGGAGGTGTGGGGATGGGGAAGGTAGGTGGGATAGTGATTGGTGAGTGCAGGTAGGGAGTGGTGGGGACTAGTCAGTGAGGTGGGAGGAGCAGATGGGTGGGAGAGAAGATGAACATGTTGTGTCAGGTCAAGGAGGTGAGGATGAGAGAGAGGGTTGGTCATGGGATGAGGCCGGGGATGGGGAGATTTTGAAACTGGTAAAGTCTACATTTAGGCCATTGGGCTGTAGGCTCCCAAGGCAGAATATGAGGTGCTGCTCCTCCAGTTTGCAGGTGGCGTCATTGTGACACTACCTTTACCAGTTTCAAAATCTCCCCCCCCCCCGCCCCCTCCCCTGACCCACCCCCCCTCCCATCCCCACCTCCTTGACCTGACACAACCTGTCCATCTTCTCTCCAACCTATCCGCTCCTCACACCTCACTGACCAATCCCCACCACTCCCTACCTGCACTCACCTATCACCATCCCACCTACTTTCCCCATCCCCAACCCTCCTCTTTCTATTTATTTCTGAGGTCCCTTCCCCCTCCTCCATTTCTGAAGAAGGGTCCCGACTCGAAACATCAGCTTTCCTGCTCCTCTGATGGTGCCTGGCCTGCTGTGTTCCTCCAGCTCCACATTGCGTTATCTCAATTTCTGTCAAAATGTTTAATCTCAATGGTAGTTTTGTGAGTAATTCTTTATTTAACAAAACAAAATACTATAGATGCTGGAAATCTGAATCAAGAACAGAGAATGCTGGAGAAACTCACCAGGTATGGCAGCAACTGTGGAGAGAAAAACTGTTAATGTTTCAAATCTAATGATTATTCTTTGAAACCTAATTAATTACTCCTTTACATAGATGCCATGTGGAGACAAACAATAATATCAATGATACCTGCAATTAAGAATTTCAACACTCCTTCAGATTCAGTTCAAATGAAAAGGTGAAAAGATAGCCAAACAAATATTTTTAAAAATATATTCATGCTCAATCCCAGACTGATATTGATTTGTACACATTGTTCTAGCAAAAGTTAAATAGTATGCCTGCTTGTCTTTCAGCATCTTTCCTTTCTCTGTTTTACTTTGATATTTAGAAATAGACAGTTTAATAAAATTTCAACAGCCTATCAAACAAGATAAAATCTAATTTATCTTCACATTTAGTTTGCATAATACTCTTAATGTTACTGGTAATATACTTATGGTACTCATTAATCACCACTAGTAACTGAAATAACATTAATAAAACTGAGAAGAGTACCATTTTACTTTCTGCATCCGTGTATTATTTTACATGAAAATAATATCAGACACATATCCTCTGCTTGCATGCAGTGCAGTAGTTGTGTGTTATAATTTATGAGTGTTTAATGGATGACACAGACAAATGCCACAAAAGAGCTTACAGCAGTAACTGAGGTCAAATAACTAATGCAATCCAGCCAATAAATTAAGTACCATTGCATTTCTCCAAACTTCCACATTTTCACACAAAAACAAATGAAAACAAAAATCCATGCACTATCATTTGCATTTACAAGGTATACAAGTTACCCAACAAACATGGTCATGAAGAACTTGCTATTGTTAACAAAACAATATGATTACTCTCAATTCCATTGTTGATAGTCTCTGCACACATAGTGTTTGAACAAGAGGATATAGCTAGGTTGGTAATATCGGCAGATCAGTGGCAGATGGAATTTAACCCATAATAAATGTGAGATGATGCACATAAGAAGCAAAGAGATAAGGTAATACTCAAGGAAGAATTCTGCTTCCATGTGTTATAGTCTATATGTTATGGTCAATGAATGGCAGAGGAGAAAGGCCAGATGAACTGAAAGATTTTGGGGTGCTTGTCCACAGATTCCTGAAGATGGCTGGACAGGGATATGGGATCCTTGCTTTTATCTGTCGTGGCATAGATTAAAAGAGCAGGGAAGTTATGTTGGAGCTTAAGAGATCTTATGTTAGGTTACAGCTGGAGTACTGTGTGCAGTTCTTGACACCACACTATAGGAAGGATGAGATTGCACTGAAGGAGGTGCATAGGAGATTCAAAAGGATGTCGCCTGGGATGGAGCATTTCAGCTTTGAAGACAGGATTTAGAGCAGAGAAGGTTGAGGGACACCCTGATAGAGGGATATTAGATTATGAGGGGCATGGACAGAGTAAATAGGAAGCAACTGTTCCCCTTGGTCAAAGGGTTAAGAACAAGTAAGCACACTTTTAAAGTAAAATGCAGGAGGTTTAGAGGGGAATTGAGGAAGAAACACTTTAGTCAGAGGGTGGTGGGGGTATGGAATGCACTGTCTGGGAGAGTAGTTGAGGCAAGTAACCTCACAACTTTAAAACAGTTCTTGGATAAAATCTTGAAGTGTCATAACATTCAAGGCTATCGGCCTAGTGCAGAAAAGTGGGACTAATGTAAGTTTTGGTGTATACTTGGTGGTACAGACTCGATGGGCCAAAGGGCCTTTTTTATTCTGTATGATTTTATGACAGTGCAGGTATCCTCATGGTATATGTCCATTTTGTTGTTAGTTCTTTTTCCTAAACTACCTACTTATTCCTGAGGTAAAAATTCTTCTCTGCAGATTGGCTTTTCCGAAGTGAGTGCTACTACCATGATAACTGTCATTGCTGATCCATTCTGTTGGCGGAAACAGAGGACGAATGGGAATGATGGTCATTCTAGACTCTGTGCAGGTGGTGAGGTCACATTTTCCTGACGAGCTGTCTGTAGTGAAGGTACAGCTTCTCTATTTGTATGTTGATGTCTGTGGTTGA